TCTTCTAGCTGTTGTTCAAGAATTCTGAACTGTAGCACTTTACTCTGTTTGTCTTCTAGTGCTTGTTTAGGAATTCTGGACAGGTTCTTCAATTTTTAGATGTCCAGACTTTGTCTTCGAGTCATTTGTTCTTGAATCAGCATAATTATCTTCAATCTAGCCGTTGAAAATCAAGAGATTGATTTTTCCTTACCAACGGGTAGAATTTCTTCATTCAAGACTTAGATAATTTTCTAAGTCTTTTCTCACTTGTCTGCTTTTTGAGAATTCCGGTCTTCCTTGAGGCATCCGGTTCTTAGCTGACAAATCCGGAAGAGTCATATTCTGTCTTCCAGGTGAGAAATCCGCGCTAGTCTTCCGACTTAGCCTTCAGCGGGTTGTAACGAGACATCCGGTTCTCATGTAGTATTCCGGATAGGAGGATTTTCGTCTGCTTTGAGATATCCTTAGTTGTCTCTGACGTTTCCAAACAAGATATTCAATTTCCAAATTTCTGAATTTGATTAAGTCTTCAGGCATCAAACCGCTTAAAGAAATATCAACACTTTATTGGAAATCTCAAGAACTTGGTTTTAACAATGTTTCTAAAAGAAAAAATTACATTGAATATCTGGGGAGACCTAAAGTCCCTATTACATTCTAAATACATCATCATCAAAATCTATGATATTTTTCCCAACAGTCTTGGTACACATGATCTAACCTCATACTATGTCCTAATGGGTTTGACACTAGTATAGGTTGTTCAAAATCTATGATATTTTTCCCAACAGTCTTGGTACACATGATCTAACCTCATACTATGTCCTACTGGTTTTGCCACAACCTAGACATAACGCTTGAGCAAACCAACACTCTCCTGGATGATGTCTCCCACACGTATCGCACAATGGGTGTTTCCACCCTTTTGATTTGCTTTCCAAAGCCATAGACTGCGTCTCTGCCGATTTCCCTTTTTTGAGAAGTGCGAACTGCTAGATTCTTGGAAGGGCCTTTTTCCTTTTGAGGTAAAGCTAGTGGGACAGTGAGTGCTTGAGCCAGCATTGTTTGCCTTTAGATACTCTATGCAAGCACTTAGGTCACTATCTACCCTAGCTATGATCTCGTAGGCCTCTGCAAAATCCATGGTGGTTAGGACGGACACACGTGACCTGAGGTCAGGTCGAAGTTTCTTCGTGAACTCCTCAATGCACTCGGTTGGGGTACTCACTGAGGTTGGCGCAAACTTTTCAAGTTTGGTGAACTTGTGACGGTATTCAGGGAGTGTCATGTCTCCCTGTTGTAGTTCGACAAATTCCGTACGTCTTTCTTCGCTAAAATGTTTTGGAATATATTCTTGCTTGAATGCCCATTCGGAATGTGCCCATGTCCTTGGCTTAGGGGTTCCCGCACTCTCATCGATCCTCTTCCACCACTCATAGGCTTCCTTTCAAGCAATTGAGAAGCCAGTCTAGGATAATTGTCAATGGGTACGTTAAGATCTTCCAACACCCGAGCCGTCTGCTCGATCCAATCCCATGCAACTTGGGGTTCAGCGATGCGATCCCCAAGGAATATCTCCGCACCATTATCCCTTAGTGTTTTGTAGGTTACCACACGAGGTGGTGGTGGTGGAGGTGGTTGAAACACTGGTGCGTTAGCTATCTGTTGTAACACATTAGCCAGAAAAGTTGGTAACACAAGGTCGGGTTGACCACCAGCGTTCGGGTTATTCCCAACATTTTGTTGATTGACAGGTTCATTTTGGATGGGAGGGGTGAAGCTAGATGCTTCAGTATGAACACTAACATGTTCATTGTTGTTACCTTGTCCGTGGGCAGATTCTTGACTCATTCTACAATAACAGAAATTCCTTCATTAGGATTCTTTTATTCAGTAGTTGAGTTTAAGACATGAATTGCAAAGGATTACAACAGTCGATACAATCAATGGATTTGAAACAAATAACAAGAAAATTTCTAAACGTTTGCATTCAATTGGTGGGATCGTGACGAATCTACAGATGGATCTTCCTTGCCCGACCCACATACGCTATTGTCAGAGTCTACGTTGAACGTCTCTTCTGGGTCATCTCGTTCCCATGCAGCCTTGCAGCGCAGATAAATCCTTCGTTTCATTATTTTCAGTATATTATGTCTTTTTAAACTTTAATTCATTTTACACATCCACTTTGACCATCTCGCTCCGTCTGCCGCCATGATTCCATCACATCATTCTTTTTGTTTACCTGCGTGTAGCAAATAAAACATACTACACGCTTAGCGTTGAAGCTGAGTAAGCATATCTAATGCATCGAACATTCATATAAATTGAATCTCAATTCATAATTAACCATTTGATATCATGCACACAATACATATTTCAAGCTTACATTATTCATGATATTCACAATATTTTATTTTAAGTCATTTCATGATATATTCAATATTCAAATTATTTCATCAATGCTCTTAAATTATTCTTAATCTAAGGCCAAATCATTTTTATACAAGCTCTTAGCTATTCCTAGTCTACGGCAATATTTCTAACCAGGCCCTTAAACTATAAATAGTTTAATGCAGAACACAAGAATCGATAATCCACCCTATGAGTCACGTGGATTACGTACCAAACCGAACAGTGATCTGTCGGGTGGGTGATATCTGGTCTGGATCCCGTACGTACGTTTTAACCCCGAATTTTGAATTGGTCAAGGAGGTATATCTTAAAGTTCTTCTAGATATCCTTAATAATCATCATCAATTTTCCAAGTGGGTATATCTTAGAGTTCTTCTAGATATCCTTAACAATACACATCATTTTCATAATCATTAATATATTCATTTTTAATCACGACTCAATCATTTATAATTAATATTTTAATAAGAATATTCATCAAAGTCGATCATAAACAACATCAATAATAATCATCACAATATTCCATAACAAATAGCGGTCTAGCATTGAGTGTTAACACCTTAGCTTACCGTCATACATCACATAAAATTTTATTTGTCAAAACATCATTTTTATTTTATCACATAAAATTTTATTTGTCAAAATATCATTTTTATTTCTAACAATTATTTTTATATTGATCATAATTGATTGGTATAAAAAAATAGGATTTTATAGCTTCAAAAATACTCCCTCCGTCCTAAAACTTTCTTCCCACTTCCCCTTTTTCTCCGTCCTAAAACTACCTTCCCATTAGAAAAAAAAAGATAACAAATGACATTAATACCCTCATGTATTTACACCAATTATCTTCTAACTCTATATTTTGAATGATTGCAAAAAAAATTTGCAAAAAATCTTTTTTAAGAGGGGTAAAATTTGAAGTCAAAGCCAAAAATTAAAAATGGGGAAAAGTCAAACTGGGAAGAAAGTTTTAGGACGGAGGGAGTAGCATTTTTTGGCTTAAAAATAATCGTAACGGTCGACCGTTGGGTTTGAACGGTCGTCCGTTCCGTTGGAAAATGTAGGAAGATGAAGGGTTACTATTCATCATCTTCAACCTCCAACCCATTTTTCTCAAACTCCATTTTTGGTCACCAAACTTCAATTAAACTATATAGAAATGTTCTACAAGGTTCGTAGATCATTTTAGAGGCATCAATTTAAAGTTTTAACAACAAATTCAAGGTTTGTGATTCTTGGTTCTTCAAATATGTCAAACACAAAACTCAACCAAACGACCATTTATGAACGTAGAAACGATCTATACGAAAATTCGAGTCACTAGATATATCTACGGACTTACTTCGAAGTGAAACGATGATTCCGACGGAAAAACGGCGAAACTTCCGGCGAACACCACGGCTTGCTCCGGCGACGGGGAGCTCTCTTGACAACACTACTTTGCTCTCTATGCTCACAGCTTTCTAATGGAGGAAGAATGGTGAAGAATGGTAAGGATTTGGGAAGTTTATATAAAATTTCTAAAACACCATTTTATATAAATGGTAAGGATTTGGGAAGTGTTTTTGAGAACGGAGGGAGTACGTTTTTTTCCTGAAGGAAAGTTCCATAACAATTAGAGCACTCATCCAAAGAGTCGCTCCCATAATTGTTTTACTTGTTTTTTTATTTCAGTCCTATTTTATAAAATAATTTTGACATCATTTATTTACAGAGTATAAAATTTCTAACCGTTACTCTATATATAGGGCACAATTTGGGTGATAGGGGAATTTAACCATATAGTACTAAAACATAGTGAGTTTTCTAATATGTGTGTGTGTGTGTGTGTGTGTGTTCAGGTGAGAATGCACCTTGGTGAAAGAAATAAGAATAAAATCTAGCCTTTTGATCTGATGCATCGTGCGGCTCATATTGCATCCTGCGCTCAGGTTTTGAGATAGTGCATTTTCAAAGGATTATGGTGCATTTCAACGTGATGCATTTTTAAACCATTTTGATGCACCTAATTTTGATGACCCTTAGATCTCACAATCTAAAGCACCAGATTCATTCTTATTTCTTTCATAAGATTGCATTCTCACCAGAACCAAAATCTATATATATATATATATAGATATATAGATATATATATATATATATATATATATATATATATATATATATATATATATATATATATATATATAGACACACACACACACATACATATATACATACATATATATACACACACACACATATACATATACATACATAAACTTTTATAAGGAAATTTCTTTTTATGTTATTCATTCATTTCTTTTCATATTATCAAAAACATCGAATGTTTTGGAAATTGTATTCCAAGTATATTTCATTACCCGTGGAATAAAATAAAAAATCCAAGTGCATGTTATTATTTTTACACTTGGATCAAAATGTTACTCCCTCCGTCCTGAAATTTTCTTCCCACTTACTATTCACACAGTCAAACTTTAATCACTTTCTTTACCTATTTTCATTAGGTATTTGATAAAATAATATAGTGTTGTCACCACTTGTTTTGTAGAACTTTTGATGTAGTTTTTAAATATATAAATTTTATTTTTTAATTTTACACCTACAATCAAATAAATTGAATTAAACATAAAGTCAGTGAAACTTTGTAAACAGAACCGAGAAGAACATTATAGGACGGAGGGAGTAATAAGTTTTAATTTTAAACTTCAAAAAAATGGTAATAACTATTTTAAATGTTTATGTAATTAAAAAATTTGGAAAATAATACTCTGCAAAATGTTTTTCATTTTTTGGAAAAAAATGTGAGAGCTTAAAAAATTGAACCTTTAATACATACTTCGATTTAATGTTATTTCATTCCTTTCTTTTCATAATATAACAAAAATAGTAAATTTATTGGATTGAATCAAATAAAAATGCATGATTATTACTGGAAGAATATAAATTTTCACAAACTTCTGATCCTCTAATGTAACTTCCATCATCTGCTCTGGTGCCTGTTTTACCATACTGGTTTTCAGTGGGCTTCGACTAACAACTCCCAATTACATCTGCAAGTACTGAAATACAAGACAGAGGTATTATATAGACATTATATATAGGAGTAAGTAATTTAATTATAATTATATAAGTGGTGTGCACCAATTAATATTAGATTGTCACCAAAAGTCAATTTCTGAATTTCTTCAAATCCCATAAATTTGTAAAAACTTTAGAAAGCCGTATGTTGATATCTCCTGAAGTTTTTTCCTGTCAAATAATTGTAGCATAAAAGGATTGTTAGTGGTTTTCCTTGTTTGGTAATTGCGTAGTATTTTGACTCTCATCAGTAAATAAATACTATCGTCTTTCAGATTTTCTTTGAAAGTCTGGATATCTGAATCTTTGATCTGCTCATGATTTCGATCTCCCTGACATTTCAAATAAAAAAGTACATATTAGCATCATTACAACGTTGTGAATGTATACGTATTTCAAGTTCATTTTAATGAAATAACTAACCTCTGAATCATGAAAAATTACATCAAAGGATTTGGGTCCCTTGGGCTGGGACATGTTGTGTGAAGGTCCAAATAGGAGGAGTTTCACAGTCAACGGGTTGTGTGAAGATATCGTATTGCCTGGGAGCATTATGGATGCTGGAAAGGAAGGGGAAAGAAGTGCTGAAGGACCAAGCCGGAAGCGGCTGACATTTGATGAGAATGATACAGACCATGAAGACGTTGTCCATGCACTGCCAGGAGAAGAAACGGCCCCCGAGTTTTCAGCCAAAAACAAAAAAAAATAGAATTATTTGGTTTCTATATTTATTCATAAAATAGTTTTCAACATTTTTTAAAGACTATGTTGAGAGTACTTTTTCCCCTTACCATTATTTCCAATTACACTTTCTGAATTTTTATGATATTATTTAAAATTTGGTTTATGCCATCAGCATTTCGAATGGTCGTTGATGTTACGTATTTATTTTTTCACTATAATCTCTGAAACTTTACTCTATGAAGGAATAAAAGGGTTACATATTTTAGCAGCCTCTGTCATGTTACATATCAAAAGGGATTTTACAGTTTAGTATTCATTAGGGGGGATATATATTCAATGAATTAAATACATTTTATTTAATCAAGTTGTGTGTATGAAAGATATACATTTGTTTTGAAGTTTTTGGTTCTTTTAGTTATTCCCTTTTCCCTTGTAGACGTAAAGTGACTTTGATTCTAAACCCATGGTTATTGTTGAAATATTGGAATAATAATATTGCTCATTGAATTATGGAGTACATGATAGAGTATATATAAGAGAGACTCCTAACACAACTAGGAATAGAGAATAGAAACTAACTAACATACAACATCTACCACAAATAGGATTAGGAAGCTGACTAATAATGAAACACTACCATAACCAATACTACAAGAAGTACTATTATTATTATTGTCTAACATTCCCCCTCAAGCTGAACTCTGGCTCAAGCAAGAGGAAGCTTGGACACTAGCTGGCATGGAAACTGGAAACGTTGAGAAGAGAGAAGTCTGACATGCGCCGGTGGCTGCTCACGTCGTTGGAGAAGAGAGAAGTGTGACGCGCGTTGGTGGCTGCTGACGTCGTTGGAGAAGAGAGAAATTGACGTGCGCTATTAGCTGCTGACGTCGGTGAAGAAGAGAGAAGGTTGACGTGCACTTGTAGCTGCTGACGTCGAAGAAGAAGAGAGAAGGCTACTGGAGATGCATGTTTGACTGAAGATCCTTGACATTTTTTGTTTTTTTCTTGGATCCGGGCAATGCCCTATTTCCTTCTTGAAGGGGTGAGTTGTAGAGGTCTTATTTCCTCTTTCACTACTTTCCCTTTTGGCTTTGCTTTTGTGCTGATTTACTTTGGTTTTTTTATTGGTTCAATAGAAGAGAAAGAGAAGGGAGGTTGATGATTACAATGGGTGATTTCAGAGAAAAAATAGGTTAAGAATTGGTGAGGGAAAAAAATTTTGGGTCAGAGCTTTTGATATGGTGAATTGGAAAGAAACAACAATTTTTTTTCTTTTTTTTGAGAAGATAGGATGATTTGAAAGAGTTTGTGAGGAGTTGGGTTTTTTTAAGAACCATGGAGATGACAAGAGAGAAGTTCCTCCTTTGATATATTTTTTTTTTGTGATTTCAACAAGGGTTGTTTTTTTCTTTTTTTTTCATTTGAGTGGAGAAGTTGATTTGAGGATAAAGAAGGAAAAGAAAATAGAGGTGATTAGGGTGGAGCCGCCGTCGCCGGAATTACCGGCGGCGGCGGGAGCAAAGAACTTTTTTTTTTTAGATCACCAAGAGCGGTGGCTCCGATACCATGTTGAAATATTGGAAGAATAATATTGCTCATTGAATTATGGAGTACATGATAGAGTATATATAAGAGAGACTCCTAACACAACTAGGAATAGAGAATAGAAACTAACTAACATACAACATCTACCACAAATAGGATTAGGAAGCTGACTAATAATGAAACACTACCATAACCAATACTACAAGAAGTACTATTATTATTATTGTCTAACAGTTATGCTTTTGGGTCAATACTCAACTGGGAAAACCACTTTTATTAAGCACCTGTTGAAGTCCAATTATCCACGTTAGTTAGTCATACTGTTATGTCTTCTCAGTTTCCCATACCTTAGTGTCCCAAATTTTAGCTAATTTGTTTTGTGTTCAATAGGGTCTGATATTGGACCAGAGCCAACTACTGGCAAATTTATGGTTGTCAAGGTAACAAGTTTTATTTCTAAGTGTTCCAAAAGAGAACATAGTTACATGTTTGATGATCATTCAATAGATAATGTTTTCCTAAACTTTCATTTTCATTTGTATGCTTTGATTTGTCAGTCCAGACCAGATGAAAAAAGCATTCCTGGAAACACCATAGCTGTTCATAAGGATACGCCATCTACAGGGTTGACCACTTTTGGAGCAGCATTTTTGTCAAAATTTGAATGTTCACAGATGCCACATCCAGTTTCCCTTTTAACCCATTTTTTGAATAGTAATATAAAATCTTAAATTCATTGGAACATGGGGTATATGTTGGAGTTTTTGATTTCCTCCATGATTACGCAGAGAAAGGAAATTGAAGAAAGAGAAAAATCACATTAACTTGTTCAAGAAGGAAGCATACAAGAGGGAGAAATATAAAGGGGAACGGGCCAGGCTAAAACTGTTGTAACTAACATAACACCCCCCCCCCCTCAAGTTGGAGGGTGATTGAACCCCCAACTTAGAAAGAAACTTGTGATGAAGAGCACTGGGCAAGCTCTTAGTAAATAGATCAGCGAGTTGGTGTTGAGTAGGAACATGTATGAGAGAGATCAAGCCATCTTGAAGTTTCTCTCGGAAAAAATGACAATCCAACTCGATGTGCTTAGTGCACTCATGATAGACAGGGTTGGTAGCAATGTAGATAGCTGCTTTGCGGTCACATTTGACAGGACAGGAATGGGAGTGATGTTTGGAACATCAAAATCAGCAAACAGACGGCTCAACCAAGCAAGTTCAGCAGTGATCCTACGCATGGATCTGTATTCAGCTTCTGCAGAACTTAAAGAGACAATGGCTTGTCTCTTGGATTTCCAAGAAACTGGACCACCTCCCTTGAGGATGAAGTAGCCACTCACTGACCTTCTTGTGTTAGGGAAGGCAGCCCAATCCGAGTCACAATAGGCTTCCAAATTGAAGGTGGGAGAATTAGTGAAGTGAATGCCTTGAGAAGGAGCTGAGTTAAGATATCTCAAGGTATGCTGGGAAGCTTCCCAATGAGAAACCTGTGGATTTTGCATGAATTGACTAAGGAACTGAACAGCATATGCTATATCAGGTCTGGTGTGAGTAAGAAAGTTTAACTTCCTAACCAGAGTTCTATATAGGGTGGGGTTGGACAGGGGTTGATCAGTATCAAGTGGGAGTTGTAGACTGGGTGGCAGTGGACAGCAAGCAGAAGCACCTTTAGGACAATCAAAAGAAGAAAGGAGGTCTAAGGTGAATTTTTTCGTTGAGTGAGTATCATTCCATGTGGTTCATAAGTGGTTTCCAAGCCCAAGAAGTAGCGCAGTTGACCAAGATCCTTGATCTTGAAAACAGAATGAAGGTGAGATTTTAGAGCAACAATTTCAGCAATGTTATCTCCTTTGGTGAGGATGTCATCAACATAGATGACTAGATGGACAACAGAGGCACCAATCCATTTAGTAAAGAGTGAGTAGTCATTCTTGGAAGTGACAAAACCGTTGGATCTAAGAACATGACACAATTTGGCATACCACTGTCTTGAAGCCTGTTTGAGACCATAGATGGATTTCTTTAGTCTAAGAACTTTTGATGGATGTGGCAACAACATGCCTGGTGGTGGCTTCATGTAAATCTCCTCATCTAAATCACCATGTAAGAATGCATTGTTCACGTCTAACTAAAAAATAGACAAGTGGTGTTTGACAGCAACTGCTAATAGAGCTCTGACAATGGTGATCTTAACAACAGGAGAGAAGGTCTCATGGTAATCAATTCCTTCTTTTTGTGTGCAGCCTCTGATGACTAATCTGGCCTTGTGTCTTTCCAGGGTTCCATCAGATTTAAATTTCAGTTTGTAAACCCATTTACAACTTATAGGCTTCTTACCTCTTGGCAGATCACATATTTCCCAAGTCTCAGTATCTGCAAGCTAAGGGCCTGAAACTCAGATTGCATGGCCTGCTGCCGCCAAGCAAGATTATCCTTAGCCTCTTCATAAGTTCTTGGTTCCTGCATATAGGTAAGTGTATCTTAAATAAAGCAATTCTCCATATTGAATGATGATTGTTTTAAAAGTGAAGGACAAGAGGCAAGCCACAACATATGGGATTCAACCAATTGGTGCACCTCACATCTCATGATTTCCACCCTTCATCTAATATCAAAACATTCTTCGTTCGCAATTTATCACTATTTTTATTGTGCTTAATGACGAACTGCGTATAGCGGTAAGTCAACAAATAACCGAGTTAGACTCGGGTCATTCTCTCCAGGAGTGACGAAGGGAATAGTTAGCTTTATTATTTATCACAGGTAAATTTATAGTCTAAGTAACGTGAATAAATAAGAAATAAAGCGTCTAAAATAAATGATAAAATAACTTTAGGAGTTAAGATCGGAACGCGGACTTAACGCAATTTAACTCATCTTTAATTAACAATTAGATTAAGGAAATGTGTAGCAATTATGTTTAATATATCTCCTATTTCTAGGTCTCAATATAAAACATAAATGCTAATCTTATATTTAATACATCTCCTATTTCTAGGTCTACATATTAATTATAAGATTATTATATTTCCAGTACATCTCCTATTTCTAGGTCTCAGTACTCTGCTAGAAAAATGTTTGGCTTAAATAATTCTAAATCCCCATAGACAAGGTAAGAACTATTTTCCAATTACTTAATTAATAAAATGTTTAGTATTATTAATTAGTTAAACCCATTCCAAACGGTTATTTCTAACCCTTCCTATTTCTAGGTGTTCGGAACGTGTGGCTTAATTAACCTTTTTACTTCATAGACAAAGTAAAAGATTAATTTCCAAGGATTAATTACTAATAAAAAAAATTTATTAATTAATAAATGTTAAGTCATTTTCTAACAATTAATCCAATTACTAATAAATAAGATTAAATTGGTTAAATCTTAGTTCCGAATCCTAACCCGTATATAATTACCAATTC